TTTCCCACACTGCACATATACATCACTAACTGTACAAAAGGCCTACTTTGTGCTACAAGTACATGTACAGGTATATGCTCAAAATTTGAGTTACCTTTCTTTCCAAGCTTTACAGTTGGCATAATACTTTCAAGTTCTTTTTTGAATTGTTGCTTTCCTTTGTCCACTAAATCATGATATTCTGAAAGGATCTTGGACTCGGCTTTAGCTGAAGTCACCTATGAAGCAGTAACATCTGGTAAGTCAATTATTTAAGTCATATGAACAAGTACCATCAAAGATTCGGGTAGGCAAATTTCACAAACATGTTTGGTGATATGTTATCAAAATTCCATGTATAAATCATTCTTTCACCGACTAGTGATTTCCTTTATGTACGTTTATCTTGTGATTTTTTGACCATCTCGTAATTCATGTGACTTAATTAAGATGGAATCTTTATCAAATTACATTTTCCTCACTGGAATAGTATTCTGTATTCCTTACTATCCAAGAAAATGATTGTTTTTACACAAAAATAGCAAACCTGTGTATTACTATTATGGCAATACAACTAAGTGGCATCAGCATATCACACGACCAGAGTATTCTGTGAAAGTACTTCATGGCATTGCTATGAATAATGAAAATAGAAAATAGTCTGGATTACCTCGGCTACAGCAGTGTCCAGATCATAACTAACTAGATTCAAAGTCTCTTCAGCACCAATTATAACAGAGGCCAGCGAACTTTGAGTGAACTTAGACTTTGATGCCTGCAACTTGGCCTCTTCTAATGTCTTTCTCAACTTTTCAAACTCTTCTCTGTAATAAAGAAAAATAACGTGTTTGGAACTTTTGATGTGTCAACAACTAAATCACCATGGTTACACTTACTTTGCTGTGTCTGTCTACATCTAAATCACCATGGTTACACTTACTTTGCTGTGTCTACGCATAAATCACCAGTTACACTTACTTTCCTGTGTCAACTAAATCACCATGGTTACACTTACTTTCCTGTGTCATCAACTAAATCACCATGGTTACACTTACTTTGCTGTGTCTACATCTGAATCACC